TTCCAGCTCCCCTGGGCCACCCCCCCTTGGAACCGCCCCTCCGTCCAGGCTTCCCAGGGCAGCCCCCCTGGGCCGCCGAACCCTTTATGTTCGTCGTGGTGGTTCGTCCCCCTCGGCCCATCCCCTGAGCCTGAGCCCCAACTCCCCTGGGCCAGCCCCCCTTGGCACCGCCCCTCCGTCCAGGCTTCCCAGGGCAGCCCCCCTGGGCCGCCGAACCCTTTATTTTCGTCGTGGCCCGTGGTGGTTCGTCCCCCTCGGCCCCCCCCCCTGAGCCCCAGCTCCCCTGGACCACCCCCCCTTGGGAGCCTTCCTCCGTCCAGTCGTCTAAGCTCCCCTGGGGCACCCCCTCCGTCCCTTGGGACCCCCCCTCCGTCCAGGCTGCCCAGGGCAGCTCCCCTGGGCGGCCGAGCCTTTTATTTTCGTCGTGGTTTGTTCGTGGTGGTTGTCCCCCTCGGTGAGCCTTGGTCCCCCTCGGCCCCTCCTCTGAGCCTGAGCCCCAGCTCCCCTGGGCCCCCCCCTTGGCACCGCCCCTCCGTCCAGGCTTCCCAGGGCAGCCCCCCTGGGCCGCCGAACCTCGTCGTGGCTCGTGGTGGTCTGTCCCCCTCGGCCCTTCCCCTGAGCCTGAGCCCCAGCTCCCCTGGGCCACCCCCCCTTGAGACCCTCCCTCCGTCCAGGCTTCCCAGGGAAGCACCCCTGGGCCGCGGAACCCTGAATTTTCGTCGTGGCTCGTGTGGTTCGTCCCCCTCGCCCCCCCCTGAGCCTGAGCCCCAGCTCCCCTGGACCACCACCCCTTGGGAGCCTTCCTCCATCCAGGCTTTCCAGCTCCCCTGGGCCACCCCCCCTGGGGACCCCCCCTCCGTCCCTTGGGACCCCCCCTCCGTCCAGGCTTCCGAGGACAGCCCCCCTGGGCCGCCGAACCCTTTAGTTTCGTCGTGGCTCGTGGTGGTTCGTCCCTCTCGCCCACCCCCCTGAGCCTTGGCCCCAGCTCCCCTGGACCACCCTTCCTTGGGACCTCCTGGGGCTTCTCGAAGCTCTTGGGGATCCTCAGGGCGGCCCCCAGGAGCACAACCGTATCCGACGGGACCTGCTCAGAGACCGACGGGACCTGCTCAGAGACCTTCTCGGAATATCGTGCGTCCGGGGACCACAGGAGCCGCCCCGCTCGTCGTGGTGGTTCGTCCCCCTCGGCCCATCCCCTGAGCCTGAGCCCCAGCTCCCCTGGGCCAGCCCCCCTTGGAACCGCCCCTCCGTCCAGGCTTCCCAGGGCAGCCCCCCTGGGCCGCCGAACCCTTTATGTTCGTCGTGGTGGTTCGTCCCCCAGCTCCCCTGGGCCAACCCCCCTTGGAACGCCCCCTCTAGAGCTCGGACATCACAGCTGTGCTCTAGAGCTCGGACATCCTTATTTTCGTCGTGGTTCGTGATGGTTCCCCCCCCTTCGGCCCCTCCCCTGAGCCTGAGCCCCAGGTCCCCTGGGCCACCCACCCTTGACACCCCCCCTCCGTCCAGGCTTCCCAGGGCAGCCCCCCTGGGCCGCGGGAACCCTCTACTTTCGTCGTGGTTCGTGGCTCGTAGTGGTTCGTCCCCCTCGGCCCCCCCCTCTGAGCCTGAGCCCCAGCTCCCTTGAGCCACCCACCCTTGGGAGCCTTCCTCCGTCGAGCCTTCCTCCGTCAAGGCTTCCCAGTCCTTCGCAGCCCCCCTGGGCCGCCGAACCCTTGATTTTCGTCGTGGTTCGTGGCACGTGGTGGTTCGCCCCCCTCGGCCCTCCCCCTGAGCCTGAGCCCCAGCCCCCCTGGGCCACCCACCCTTCGGAGGCTTGCTCCGTCCAGGCCCCCCTGGGCCGCGGAACCTTTTTATTTTCGTAGTGGTTCGTGGCTCGTGGTGGTTCGCCCCCTATCACCCCTCCCCTGAGCCTGAGCCCCAGCTCCCCTGGGCCACCCACCCTTCGGAGGCTTGCTCCGCCAAGGCTTCCCAGGACAGCCCCCCCGGGCCGCGGACATCATTAGTTTCGTCGTGCTCTCCCCTGGGCCACCCACCCTTCGGAGGCTTGCTCCGCCAAGGCTTCCCAGGACAGCCCCCCTGGGCCGCGGACATCCTTATTTTCGTCGTGGTTCGTGGTTCGTCGTGGTTCGCCCCTCTGGGCCGCTCCCCTGAGCCTGAGCCCCAGCTCCCCTGGGCCACCCCGCCTTGGGACCCCCCCTCCGTCCAGGCTTCCCAGGGCAGCCCCCCTGGGCCGCGGGAACCCTCTACTTTCGTCGTGGTTCGTGGCTCGTATTGGTTCGTCCCCCTCGGCCCCCCCCTGAGCCTGAGCCCCAGCTCCCTTGAGCCACCCACCCTTGGGAGCCTTCCTCCGTCGAGCCTTCTTCCGTCAAGGCTTCCCAGTCCTTCGCAGCTCCTTTGTGCAAGAGCCAGGGCCCGCGTGCCACTTGATATTGGCGCCGCGGGTCTGAAACCGCAGCACGGTAGCCCAGAAAGGCCAACTTCCAAGCATAACCTGAATTATTTGCAACGAGGTTTGATTCCGACGAAACCAGCACATGCGCCGAGCATCCAACACGCTCACAATCATCTTCTCAAACGCCCGCTCGTTCTGAAAAGGCAACTCCACATGCACGCGGCTGGCCGGCTTGATAAACGCAACCGTGCTCTCGCACAACTCGCTCGCCTGGCGCTCGGGGAAGGGCGGCTACACTGGCACACCGATGCCACTGATGACTCGGCCGTGCGCTGACCCATGCGAGCGGCTCCAAAAGGTCAATGGCAGCGCGACGACAGTGTAGGCGACCTCCAGGACCAGGCCCAGCTTTCCCTCGTCCCCCTCACTCCCTCCACCCTCATGCTGAGCCCCTTGGACTGAGCGGAACCTTCTTCAAGTCCGGCTCGGCGCGGATGTTGTCAGGCAGCACGACGCCTCGTTCGGGCACAGAGCAGAGGAGGATGAGGAGCAGGGAAGGGAAGGAGGAGGAGGAGAAGGAGGAGGAGGATGAGGATGAGGAGGAGGAGGAGAAGGGCGGGAGGGAGAGGAGAGAAGGAGAGGAGGAGAAGGAGGAGGAGGAGGAAGAGACGGCGGAGGAGGAGGCGGAGGAGAAGGGCGGGGAAAAGGAAGAGCAGGATGAGGAGTGGGAGGAGGAGGAGGAGGAGGAGGAGGAGGAGGAGGAGGAGGAGGAGAAGGGGCAGGAGGAGAAGGAGGAGGAGGAGGAAGAGGAGGAGGAGGAGGAATAGGACGCAGCAGAGGAGGGGGAAGAGGAGGAGGAGGACACGAAGCCCACGAACGAGAAGAAATCGATGACGGCAAAGTGAAGGGTGTAGAAGAGATCGCCCTTGGAGCGAGAACACCTACAAACCCTCTGCGGACCATGCCACTGGTGATTCAGAGGGCGAGGAACCATTCTTGGGTGCAGATCTCGCTTCGAACAAGACATGGGTGAGAGCACAAGAACTCTCCCGGGGACGGTTGTCACAATAATGCGTCGAAGAAGGGGTAATGGTGTTGATGAGAGTGTGAAGGGGATGGGATGGGGGTATCGCTCGCGGCCTCTTTCAACCATTTTGAAGCACGGTCTCTTGGCAACCCACGGGTTCCACGAAAACGGGCACACGCGGCGAAATGTTGTCAATACGTAACAGCATGATCACACGGCAATTGTGCAATACCTCCTTTTGGTACCTTTGATCGGCGGATTTGACCGCAAAGTTGATCAGATGTTGCCACGGGAAGAGCGTCATCTGCCATCGAAAATAGCAAGACGCATAGGGTTCTGCGACTCTGGCGCTTCGGCTTAAGAAATGCCAGCGCGCACGCCGAGAAGAATCTCAAAACCGGCCGTGCACTTGGTGGCAGATGCTGAGCCTGAGCGATACCACGTGTCGATAAACTGCCGAGCCTGGCAGCCCGAGCGACTCTGCGCCAGTGTTGCGCCATGCGCTTCGCGCCTCCCACCAACGTGTCCTCCGCCTTCGTAAGCCAGTCATGCTCCAGAGAGGCGGGACCCAACTTCGACAGGGGGGAGCCAGAGCTTCAGCTGTGGTGCCTTCCCTTGTCCAGACCCTCGTTGGCTCAAGTTCCCCACTCCGTGGAGGGGAAGCCGCTACCCGCTGGTGGCGCACCCGCCTGGGAGGTACTTGACGTTCTCCTTGCCCTCGTTGAAGACCTCAGAGAGCTTCCGCTTGATGCCACGGTGCTCCACCTGCTCCTGGGTGGGACGACGAACGGAAGACGACCCGAACAAGAACGCCTCTCCACCCCCCCCAATAATACCAGCGCGTGGACCTGGAGTCGCGACCCTGTGCGCCTCTCGGGGGGGCACGATCTATGGGACGCACAATGCGTGTGTGCGGTGCACTCTGAGCGGGGTGCCATCCTGTGGGTGGCGCCCTGTCTTTCTGTGGGTGTCACCTGTGGGTTCTGTGGGTGGGACGCCATGTGCCGTCTATGGGTGGCGCCCTGTCTCTCTGTGGGTGTCATGTGCGGGTGCCATCTGTCTGCTGGTGGGACGCCACGGGTGGGAACCGTATCGCCTGGTCGCAAATAGGAACATCTTCAGGGGGCCTACCATCGAATGTCCTCGATTGCACGGAATGCCAAAAATCCGCTGTTCTGACCACGCATGACTGGATCCTCAACGGGCCGGATCATCTTACCACGAATGACCTGCCGAATGTCATACATCGACCCGCCAGTGACAGTCTGGGATGACAGATGGAACAAACCCAACGCTTTCTGGGACGCCTCCACCACACCTCAAAGCGACCACACAGAGAACCAGGTCAGCAAACACTGCCACTCAAGCGCCACATGCAGATGCGACGGAGAAGCACGGGCTGCCAGGTCTGCGTCCAAGCTGCAAACTTGCAGAAGACAGCGCGTGTAACCGTATAAAAACACGCTGCCATGGAGTGCAGACAGTCCTGGTTGAAACGAGTCCTAGACCCAAGGGCTTTTCCCCAAACCCCGTTTGTCTTCAAGCAGAACTTCCTGGTGGCCCTGGGGCCCTGATCGCCAGACATCCGCGAAACACCTCCAGGGCCCTGTTCCTCGAAGACCACCGCTTCGCCATGGCAGCGACAAGTCGCCTCCTGGCCTCCCGCTCCCCCTCTTCGCCTCGCGAGGCCCGCGCGCGATCGCCCAGCGGCTCCTGGACGCGCGCCGCCCGGCCGGAAGTGTGCGTCGAGCGCGGCGGTGCCGAATTCTCGCGTGCAGCGAATTGAACCATCGTTGTTTAATTCATTGTTTTGCCGATCGGCACGGGCCCTCGCACCCCCCCGTCCCCCACCCCCCGTGGAGTAGATCTTGGCTGTTTTTGTTGACACCCGTTTCGAGCGGCTGGAGTCTCCCCCAGAGGACGCACGGTCCCAAACAGTCGCAGTGAGCAGAGGTCCGGAGCCAGACCCCCCCCCTCCCCCCCACTCCGCCCAATGTCGAAACGCCGAATAAAAAAACGCTCACCTGGGCTGGTGGATTCGGGTGTTGCCTGATGGGGGGGGGGGGGGGGCAATACGGCTGGACCTGAGACAGAATAACACCCTTCAAGACGGAAGAACACTCGGAAGAGCACTCGAGGACCTGAGACAGAATAACACCCTTCAAAACAGAATAACACCCTTCACAGGACCTTCCGCCAGCCAAACGGAAGAACACTCGAGGGTACCCTCCCCCAGGACGCACAAGAGCATCCTATAAGCACGAAGAACACTGGGGTACCCTCCCCCGAACCGACCTCGATCTTATACCTCGATCCGGCCGTAAACCGGGGGGATGACGAAAGGTTCACCTTTCGTGCGTCCCCTCCTCCTCCTCCTCCTCCTCCTCCTCCTCCTCCTCCTCCTCCTCCTCCTCCTCCTCCTCCTCCCCCTCCCCCTCCTCCTCCTCCTCTCCTCCTCCTCCTCCTCCTCCTCCTCCTCCCCTCCTCCTCCTCTCTCCTCCTCCTCCTCCTCCTCCTCCTCCTCCTCCTCCTCCTCCTCCTCCTCCTCCTCCTCCTCCTCCTCCTCCTCCTCCTCCTCCTCCCTCCTCCTCCTCCCCCCCCCCCTCCCCCCCCTCCCCCTCCCCCCTCCCCTCCTCCCCCCTCCCCTCCTCCTCCTCCTCCCTCCTCCTCCTCCTCCTCCTCCTCTTCCTCTTCCTCCTCCTCCTCCTCCTCCTCCTCCTCCTCCTCCTCCTCCTCCTCCTCCCTTTCCTGCGACCCTCGACCCCGCCCCAGCCATCGCCCCCCATCACAAGATGCCCGATGCGCTGGACAAGCTAGACGACTGCATGGTTTCACAGATGATGCAGTGCTGCAACAATGGTTGGCTTCAGAAGCCGATGCTCCGATCACAGAAAATCGCAGCGAGCGTGCACTACCGTCTCGAACACGGATGCCCCTGAATGACTTGTGTCGATTTGCGCCCTTCGAGCTTCTTAAGGTACCCAATCGATGCGCACTGATGTCGCTTTGGTTGTTGGGAGACTTGGCCCTCTCAGGGGCCCTCTTGGGGCAAACCTGGGTCGACCAGTACGCTGTCGTGGCGCATCTTGCCAAAACTTGTCCCGTCTTATCGTTTACTGTCTTGCCTTGGCTGGACGTGTCCTGTCTTTTCTGGCCGTCTTGGGCCGTCTCGAAGCCGTGCTAAAACTCGCGGCTCGGGGATCTACTGACCCAGGAATCAGACCCGGGTCAGTCAGGCTTAGCAGGATCCTGCAAATTCATGCAAGATCCTACAGGATCCTGCACCCAAGCTCGGGTCAATGCACCCCTGGCCCTGCATGAACCTGCAAGATCCTTCAGGATCCTGCGCTCTGACTGACCCCCGTTTGCATTGACCCCCGTCTCTCGAGCCCCAAATGACGCTGGTCCCGTCGTGCCCGGGGACGGGAGGGGGATCCGCCCGCCCTGTCGGGGGGGGGATTCCGAGTCGCAACACCTCCTCCTCCTCCTCCTCCTCCTCCTCCTCCTCCTCCTCCTCCTCCGCCCTCCTCCTCCTCCTCCTCCTCCTCCTCCTCCTCCTCCCTCCGCTCCGCCTTCCTCCTCCTCCTCCTCCTCCTCCTCCTCCTCCTCTCCTCCTCCTCCTCCTCCTCTTGCTCCTCCTCCTCCTCCTCCTCCTCCTCCTCCTCCTCCCTCCTCTCCTCCTCCTCCTCCTCCTCCTCCTCCTCCTCCCTCCTCCTCCTCCTCCTCCTCCTCCTCCTCCTCCTTCTCCTCCTCCTCCTCCTCCCAAGCAAATGGTGCCCAAGTTTTTCTGGGCCTGCCTCTGTGCCGTCCCGTGGCGCTTGAGGTTTCGTCTCCCCTCGGGAGACGACTGAATCAGAGGCAATCACTCACAGCCCTCGGCGCCCGCCATGGCACCTCTCGCTCGTCGTGCTGGCTGGCCTGCTGGCACTCCGCCATGGCGCGACGGGGGCTCGGATGGCTACTGGAAGTGCGGGAACTGCGGCTGCGGCAAGAACCTCGAGCACTACTGATTCTCCAAGCAGTACCCCGGCAAGCGGAAGGAGGTCGAAGCTGCCAGCCCGCCTCAGCCCCGTGGAGCCTGGGCGGGAGGCTGGCAGCGCACGCCCTGGCAGGAGAAGCCGGCCATGGAAGGCCTCCCTGTTGGCCTCCAGGGCGGCGGGGCCCCTCCGCCTGTCTCAGGGGATGAGGACGAGCTCTCCGACGACGAGCTCGGGCATCTCATCAGCCTCCATCGGAAGATGGGTAGCGAGGCATCGACAGCGGCCCTGCAGCTCAGGCTGGAGAAGCAACGTGCTGGTGACCCCCCCTGTCCCCCTGCAGGCCCAGGCCAACCAGGTGGACCGTAATATCAAGCAGCTGGAGAAGAAGCTTCAGCATGATTCGGAACAGTATACGAAGTGGTCGAATTGGCTTGCCGACAAGAAGGAGTCCATCGGTGCGGTGCGTCGTGAGCTGGCGGGCGAGATGCAGAAATACCAGGGACTGGTGGATCAACTTCGAGCGCAAGTTTGTCCAGCTCCCGCCACGCCGCAGAAGCCTCGTATTGCCCTCCAGGACCTCTTGGGTGAGTCCAGGGATTTCCTGGAGATGGGCAGTGGGGAGGAGGTCTTCGGGGTGGACGGCTCGGTCTACGAAGTTCAGGAGTCTGACGCCCAGGAGCTCGAGAAGAGGACCGCGCAACTCAAGGAGTCGATTCAGCAGGCCGCTCGCCAGCTCTCCGGCGAGGCCCAGCGGCACTTCCAGAAGCTCAAGGAGGATCGCGCCAAGCACATCCAGAGGATGGGGAAGAAGCGCAAGGTGGGTGTTTCAGGTGAAGCTGCCGCGGCGTCACCTGAAGGCGCTGGGGGGGCTCAGGGGCGAGGCCCAAGATCCTGCTGGAGACGGAGGTGGAGATTCTTCGACTGGAGCGTCGGCGTCATCTTCGGGGGCTGCGGCTGGGTCGTCGGCGGCGGCGCAGTTGCTCGCCAGCGCGGACAAGCTCATCGGGACCCTGTCGGATCCCCCCCACCCCACCCCCTGCCAGCGCGTAGCCGACAGGGGGGACTTCGTGGGCGCGTTCACGCGCGCGGCAGCAAGGCCGCTACTCCACCATCTGGGTCGACTGGGCCCAACTGGTCATCGGTGGCGGCTTCGGGTTCATACTGTGAGGGCCAGCGCGAAGTGTGCTCGCCCAGCCACGAGGCCCCTGTCATTTCTGTTCGTTCGGCTCTGGAGAGGGCCAAGAAGTTTCTTGGGCTGCCCACTGAGGGCGGCATGCCTTCGGACCCTTCCAAGTTTTTGTCAGTGCCCCCCTGCCCTGGCTGAGCGCTCCAGCTGTCGATCGAAACGGTGAAATGCGCGAGTTGGTCTTCCATCGGGTCTTGGCTTGCAACCACGACTTCCCGCATCGCACTCGTGCGAGAACACCACCTCGCATCGAACGACGACGTCGGCACGACAGGACAATGGGCGCTAAAGAGGGGATGGAAGGCTCGGTTCAAACCTGCGACCCGCACCTCGGCGGGAGGCACCTCTGGAGGAGTCGCGAGTTTGGTCCGCTCTTTCCTGGGGTTCCACGATCCCGAGTGCGGTCAGGTCGTCGTCCCGTCCAGGGCCCTGAGTGGAATTGTTCAGGTTCCAGGGGCTCCGTCGATCCTGGTCTCGTCGGTCTATCTCTTCGATAGCGAGGACCTCACTGACAGGAATCTCGATTTGTTGGCGGCCGTGTCGGCCAGGCATTGCTCGTTTGAAGGTCCGGACCTGATTGGAGGCGACTTTAACATGAGGCCTGATGCGTTGGTTACCTCCGGGGTTCCTGGATATCTGAAGTCTAACGTTATCTACCCTGATATCGGCACGTGTACCAGTGCTGGGGGCTTACGGGTTCTCGACTAGTTTGTTCTATCATCAGGTTTCAGTCGTTGCATCCAGGAGGTTTCAGCAGTCTTAGGCAGCGACGTCAAGACGCACGAGCCCATGCGCATCCTCTTTTACCCGCAATTGGCTGTGCTCAAGGCCCTCACTTTCCCCCGCCCGCCAAAACTGCCGTCCGAGCGCCCCATCGGGCCAGCGCCGTGCTCGGGGGACCACACCACTGTCCTGGATTGCGCCCGAGTGGGACGTGAGTTGATCGAGCGCCAAGCGTCTAGGTCCCAGATACAGAAGCATCTGGACGTGCTATGTCGAATTTCGGCCGATGCGGCCGAGTGGGAGCTTTCCAAAATTTTGCGGACCGATCTGGTGATATGGGGTTCCCGCGGTCGGAGGCCTCGATTGGCCTGGGCTTCTGCCCTGGACAAAAACTCTCGCCCTCCTGTTCGGAATCCTGGATTGGTATCTGGTCGTTGGTTGTCGAGGACTTCGGGGCTTATCCTGGGGGCGGTTGATTCAGGAGACGCCGTGGCCTTCGCGCGATTTCGGACTCATGTCCTGGACCCCCCCGCGAATGTTCGCCGGTATTGGGCTGCATTTCAAGATCTTTGTCTGCGAGGACGTGGTCTCCATAAGGGGGTTTTCAAAATGTTTCCCAAGAGGCGTCAGGTTTCCGAGAGTTTCAAGCTCTTTTAGAACCCAGAGTAGCAGAGTATGCAAAGCCTTCCTCGCAGCGGTCGTTGAAGGAGTGGCGTAACTGGCTTCTGGACGGAGTGGACAAGCTGGGCATAAAAAGACGCTCGCCGCTGGACCCGCGAGTTGAAACCTTGGGTGGCGACCGCGACGTTGTCGGCCGATGGGCTTGTTTTGTCGGACCCTGCGTCCCTCCTGCAATCGGAGGGGGGGCGGTTCGGGGCCCTCTGGGATTCCAAGCCGCACCCGCATTTTGAGGAGTCTGGACCCCTAGATTTGATGGAGC